CCCCAAGCTTGACGGTTGCAAATACTCGCCTTGTGCAGACACTGGAATGAAACCGAATCCAATACAGAAAAACCTGAGGGGTGGTTAGCACATCTCCCACCGTAGGCTGGGGGGATTAATTCCCATAGCCTTACAGGGCACCCATGCTGCTTAGCGTTTTGATTTTTGACGCTGCAGAAAGTGGGCTGAAGGGGGAGACTTCACCCTGGACTGCTCGGCTTCAGTGCAGGCAAAAGCCTAGAAAGAAATAAATCAGCCTTGAATTCTGGTCCGAAGGTCAACAAGTAAGAGTGACGCTGGAGCAGATGGCCTGAGTTCCTCAGTGTGGGATATCTTGTCCTCAAACATCAGATGAGCTCATCTAAGCCTCCAGATTACCATCTCTGCAGTGACACCAGGGGTAATCGGAACAGCTTCAGACCACGCTGCCTTCAGTTTGGCCTGCAGAGTAGTAACGAAAGGTCTGTGTGTGTGGTGTGTGTATATAAAAGTCATAAAATGTTAAATTACAGTGACTCCTGCTTCCAGGCTTATTCACACATGTGTGGGATCAGATGTCTGGTCTCTGTGTGCCACCTCCCCGCTGACTGTAACTGCGGCGTTGGGTCAGCGCCGGTTCTGGGGGAAAACACCCTCCGTGGCAGCTCGAGGGATTGCTCATCTGGTTATTTGAGCTTGATCCTGCTGGGGCAGGATACCCGGCTGAAAGTGTCGCTGCGGACCGGCTGAAAACAATGAAACAAGGGTAAACTGCTGTTTGCTTTAACAGTGGTTGCAAGGCTAATTTTAGCTACTTTGAAATGCGATTTGAATGCACATAGGTATAATAGCTGCAGTCAGTGTAATGAACAAACCCTGTTTCTTTTTCCATAACACAAAAAAAAGGTAGCTGAGGGGCATATTGTCCTGGGAAGGTTCGTAACGGCTGTGTTACCCCGATTATTTACCAGTTCCCTGTCTTCTCAAGAAGCCTTGAGCAAGCTATGCTGAGCGATACAATGAATATATTGTAGCTTGTGGTTCTGATGTAATTCCCACCAAACA